GTGTTATATGATTATCATAGCTAGGTAATTAATAATTATTCAAAAGCTTTAGGGTTTGAACGTAAGTGTTGTGTTGCCAAATCAAGTGTTTGCTCAATTGCTCTTATGTACGAGTAAGTGACATGGTTTGTGCTTAATAATTTCATATCGTGTGGACATTTAGTTTTGTACTCTTAAAATTGTGTTGTATTTTCTATTGAATAGCTTATTTATTTTGAATTTGAAAGCTTATTGACTCAAATGATAGAGCAATGTACCTTTGTACATAAATGTAGGTTCAAATCATACATAAGCTATAATTATAACACTACATATAAATTGGATGCGACAAAAGAAATATTATGGTGCTTTACGCATCCTTTCTAGTACTTAATGGCTCAAACTAATAAATCTCATGTTTTGTTTATCATGTCGCCTTAAAAAGAATAAATAAATTGTATAAATATTCTCTCTGTCCCATTATTAAATGCTCATTTATCATATTTTGTGAAAATTTAATCCCTCTTTGTAAGGTATATGGCACAATTAAGTCAATAATTAAGACAATTAAAACGAAAATAATGTTTAATCATATTTTGGACAATAAGAGATGGAAAAAAAGAATCTTAAAAAAAAAAAGGCTAATTTAAGTGTTGGTATTCACATTAAATAATATGTAAAAAAATATTTTGTAATAAATAATAAGCACTATAATTGAAAAAAAAATTAAAATTAATTTGGAAAAAGAATCGATCCTGGTACCTTCAAGTGAAACTAGGAAACACTTGACCATCTTAGCTAGATTTAAAATTTGTTTACAAATACAAATATTAAATAGTATATTAGATAAATAGAATTAGTGGTACATAGCAGTACATTACTTTAGTGGTACATTGTGGTACATGTCATTTACTATAGAATTTTCGTATGTATGATATAATAATTCATGTAACATCTTGATGTTGTAAACAATTTAATCTTAACATGTGGAATTTGGTCAACACTTGGATACTTCAATGGCTAATAGTAGTAATGTAAGAACCATATCATATACAAGTATATTTTAGGGTTCAAGGTTTGAACCTTATTAGAGCGTTGTACTATGTTTATAGAAAAAAATCACTCCACTAACAATTTAGTATAATAAAACACATCAACGATATTAATTATTTTTAGTTGGATTTGAGTGTTTACAAGATTTCCTTTTAATTTTTTTTTAGCTTCATTATTTTCAGAATGTAGTTTATGGTTTTCTAATATTTTTTTTTTTTTTTTACTGTTTGGGCTGATCTGGTTGAATTTAACACAATGGCAAGCAAAATTTAATACATTCAAATTGCATAATCATAGAGCAAGGGTTTATAAGTGAGTGATGATACATAACAATAATAAAATGGGATTGTGAATAGTTTGTGTACCTAATTTTGTATAGAATTTGTTATATACACCTGGATTGAAAAACAATCATCTGAATGAAAACAAATAATCGGGTGTATAGAACTTCTCATAAATTAAGTCATATCACAATTGCATTTTGTTACATACTCCCTCCGTTTTTAAATACTTCATCCATTTCTCTTGGACACGCATGCCGATGCTAATCTTTGATCACTAATATCTTTAATTATCAATAGGTATAACTTCTAACAATTGAAAATTAATAATCTATTTATTGAGATAAATTTAACAATTACCCACACGTTATTTTTTCTTATGTATAAATCACAAACATTAGTCAAAGTAGAATAAATAAATAGTGCAAAAAATAGAAATGGAGCAAGTATTTAAAAACGGAGGGAGTACTTCGTACAATAAATACAAATGATACCTCTATTAAATAAATAAATAAATAAATACAAATGACACCAAATTCTAATTTTCCTTTGTCAAAAAAAAAAAAAAAAAAAAAAAAAATTCTAATTTTCTAGTATACGTAAAAAATGAAAATAGAAAGAGAAAAAAGAGAATAAGCGGCCCAGTTGTGCGGCGTATATAGCTGGGCATCGAAGAATAGACCATGGATTTGGTTAACAGAGGCCCATGTGATCGATCCTTACCTAGCTTGGCTACCTATATACATGGACATTAAGGAATTCAATTAGGAAGGATATATTATCTTCAATCAATCAATCAATCAATTACATACTACTAAAAGCGAATTTATAGACACACTTGTCAATATATTATTAAAAAATTTTCCGCCAAAAGTAATTTCTCAAAACATCATTGTTGATTAAGGAAAAAATAAATTACATCTAAATTACGACATAATTTGTTTTATATAAAATATTTTAAATATTTTCTCTTGCATGGTTTTATTTTTGATATACTCTATATTTTTTAATGCTCAATTCATTATATTAAAAATTTTATAATAAAATTATCAAAAATATGTAACAACCGTGCATTGCACGGGATTTAACCTAGTTATTAATTAATATGCAAAAGCGTCTTTAATGGCAAGCTAATTATCAAGTCACATACGTAGTTATTCAATTTATTCCTCTTTCTAACTTTGTACTCCGATGATTAAACACAATGAAGTAGCTTGCTAATTAACTCTTTGCCAACCAAATTAGTTTGTCAAATCCAATATGCATGGCTAACTTAATTTCTCGCTTCAACTCTAATGGTCAAACAAGCTGCTTAGACCTTCTGAATAAACTAGTGCAACTATATAGCTATATCAAAGATGTTCTAATGATTATACACAGTGGTGACTAGTAGGATCCTTTCCTAGATTACGCAATTAAAAAAAAAATCAATTAGAGTTTGTTCTATTCACCTAATTTTTACTTATTACAGATCTTATAAGTTTAAATATGTTCAATTTGATTATCCAAATTCAGATACAACTAAGTAAAAAGTCAATAAGCTTTATTAAGTTTAAATAAGTAAAAATCAAATGAATAAAACACACTATATAAAAGCGGCATGGGGAGTAATTCAATTGTAGAATATATGGCAAGGAAGTTAATAGTAATTGATTTTTTGTTTGTTTGTTTTTTTTTTTTTTTTTTTTTTTTTTTTTTTTTTTTGGTAAGAAGAAGGGCCCTATTGAATTGGAACCTCTTATATGTCCTCCCGACTCGGGTTAGCGAGCTAGACACTTTGAAAGTAAGGGGGAAGGGTAAGGGAATCCCCACCCCAAAGGTGCCTCTAGTGGGGCTTGATCTCACAACCTCTTAGTTGTGAAATACAAACTTGACCACTAGACCAAGCTATGCTTGGTAAGTTGGTAGTACTCGTATTTTAATGCTATAGCAAAATTGTACTACGTATAATATTTAAGGCAGATAATATGGACTTGTGGAGTATAAATGTACTACGCGTAATATTTCAGGTATGGCCAAAATATAAAAGCGTTGGGCTGTGTTGCACAAACTCATGTGATGTGGGCCGGACTGGAATTTGTTTCAATTTAGTCAATAGTTGTCTTAGTTGATGCTCTGACAATGAATGTAACATTTGTAAAAATAATAATAATAATAATAAAAAAAATGTAATACAAGATTACAAGTCCTAATAATTTTATAGTGGAAAAAGAAAAGAAAAATAAAAATTTTAAATGGTGATGTGCAGAGTTTTAGAGTGTAATATATTTCGTAATATTGTGAGTGGGTGAATAATTTATTACTTGTATAATAAAAGTAAAATAGAACCATGAAAAAAAAGTATGTGAGAAGGAGTAACTATTTTTATTATTTAAGTGGAGATTATAGAAGATAGAGAAATGATTAAGTAATTTGAATGAGGTTTAATGTAAGAGATAAAAATAATAATATATACTCTGTAGATTAAAATTATCAAATAGAGTGATGCATTAACTTGTGATTTACATTACCCTACAATTAATAAATTTTCCAAGGTACAAAAAATTATGTTTGTTTTAACAAAACAAATTCTTTCTCCTCTTCCAATCTTTTAATTATTTTTATACTAAGAATATAAAAGGGCATGTCGTGAATTCTACCGTTCTTTAATTAGAGTTTCGTTTATCTTAATTATGTGAGTAGTAAATGTTAGAAATATGTCTTTAATTTAGTGACGTAAAGTATATTCTTAACAATGTAAGTTGACAAATCACTTCACGTGAATGTCCACTAATAATCTTGTTTTATTCAAAGAAATTTGTCAATATATCTTTGCTATAAATAGTAAGCCACTATTTGGGTAACTAGAGGTGCCTTGGTAACTTGGTTGTTTCATGGACCACTACAAAAGTTTTAATTGATAAATATTGTTCATTGATTGACAAGTTGAAAATATGGTAAGTGTGTAAGGCCTGTTCACATTTACTAAACCGAGCTAAACTGTACTGATTGGAGCTGAGCTGAGCTGAACTGAAATTAAGTTGAAGTGAACAAACGAACCCTAATATTACCTAATTATATTAGTTGTTTTAAATTACTACATCCGTTACATATGAGTGCAACTTTGGAGTATTATTTGTAAGATATAAAATATTCCAAAGTTGCAACTAATATATAACGGAGGTAGTAGTTACTTATCAAACACTAGTTAAGTATGATACAATACTATTTGTTTTTTTTTTTTTCTTAAAATTGTTTCTATTTGTTAGCCATTTAACTAATAAGGAATGTTAGCAACCTTATCAATTTCATTAATCATAATTTGTCAAGTAAAATACTTGAGGGATGCAACCTTGGACAAGCCATAAGGTCATATCACTCATACGAGTATGTGCTTATCCACCAACTTACCACATAACATTGCACTATACCATTTAGAGCTTTTAAAGCTTCAACCTATATATAATTAACAATCTTTATCTGATCCCACTCAAACCCAAACTAAAAAACCACTAATCCAACCTAAACCAAATCTGAACAATTTATATTTAATTCAATTTAAGTCTTTTATCCTTTATTGTATAAACATCAAATTTTACCTTATACTCAATTTTTGTTATTTCCTAACATGGTCCGAAACCAAACTTAACACACTAACCCGAATTGCCATCCCTTAAAATCCCCACACCCTAAAAAGAAGTCAATAAAGAGTTGGATCAAACCATAATAAAGAATAAAGCGAATTTGATCAACACCCTAAAAGCAAAACACAAGCTAAGTAAATTCAAAAAGCCCCAAATCAATGATCATCTTCTCTATTCTTTCTCAATCTCACCCATTATATAAAATCCAAAAGGGTCCCATTTCTCGAAATCCCAGAAATTTTGGGACCCATTTGCTGACGATTTGGAAGACTCCTTTGCTGCATTTCCATGGCCACTTTCCATGTCAATGTTCTCTGCATCTCATCTCTCCACTTTCCCAAGTTTTATCCTCCATTTTCTCTCTCCTCTTTCAGTTGAATCTGCAGTAGAGAGAGAAAACTAAACAAGAGAGAAATGCCCTGTTTTGCTAAACTATGGGGCATTAATTTATCGATTTGCTTGTTATGGTTGCTTAGATCCTGCTATGGTGAAGACCCATATGTGTTTTATGATTGGAGAGTTTCATATGCTACTGCTTCTCCTCTTGGAACTAAACAGCAGGTTCTGGGTTTCTTTCTTTCTTTCTCCATTTTTCTGGGTTTATGTAGTTGATTTTAAATACTTTATTGCTTGATTTATCTTTCTGGGTTGTAAGTGTGGGTGGGTGCAGATAGGTTCAAAGTTCGACTATGATGTAGACGGGATTTGATTCGCTTTTCGAGCAGAGTACCTGTTAGACTTTACCAACTAAGCTAGCTGACAATCTGACACGAACTATGCATAATATGTTTAGTTGTGGTAATTTGTTTATGGTTGGGTTGAAAAAGAGGATGATTTTGCTTACCTTTAATTGCTATTTTGGAAATTGAGAATTTGGGTTTGTTTTTAATCTTGAAATAGTTAAGTTGCCTTTTTTAGAACGAGGTCTTTTTGCTTGCCTTTTACTCCTGATTTCATGATGATTAAGCTGCATTTCCTGTAAAAATCTGCTGAATAACTGTTGTGGTACCGAATTTTAGTTTAAAGCAACTTTTGGAAACTTGAACAGTTGAACCAGGCAACCAGACAATTAGATTCTGCTTGAAGGCAGGACCTTGGTGTTTGTGCAGTCATATTTTTACTTTTCTAAATTACTTGGAGATTGGGATTGTTGCTTATTATGGAGTAAAGAGTTAAGATTGATGCCCAAATTAGAATAAATAATGTGAATATGTCATGGAATTCCGTTTTACTCGGCCCTAGAGCATCGGATCTTTCTACTTTTCTAGTGCAGAACTATAAGCATCTAGTCCTTTTTGATGGAGAATGTATTGTGTGGCTAAAGTCCAAACACACGGCTTTGGAAGGCGAAATGGTTTCAGAACAAAGAGAAACCCTAGGGTTGGAGTTCAGTCACAAACTCACAATAGCTGTGGACATTATTTTTTTGTCAATTAAGACTATGTTTATCATTCTGCCTTCCTAGTAAAGTAGTTTTGAGTGGTGCATAGATCCATTAAATCGTTCAACAACCTAGACTTTAGTTTATTTTAGAACATGGAAGCCAAAGTTTACAGTTTATAATCATGCTGTCTCATGTTGAAGCTTCGTCCATCATCCATCTTCCATTGGGCATTTGACTGTATGTTGTGGCACAATTTCTTTATGAGTGTGAATTCTATGGTTTATATAAGAGCAATTTTGCATTCTGTGCTGCTGTGTTATACTATGCTACAACTGATTTCGGGTTGTTCATTTCAACTGAAGTTGAATTATATGCTGTGAATTGAACTTATTAGACCTGATTATAACTTCTCAACTTAGCCTACTAGAACTTATCTGAAGTTTTTGTTCTGAAGTAACTTTAAAATTATTTGAACAGAATACACCCTCAATATGGTACTAGTAAGAACAGTAACAAGCCGTGACCCTGTTTTGTGTCCATCGTGAAGAGAGAAGCTCGATTGATACTCATCTTGAATTAAATTCTCTTGCTTTATTTGTAGGTTGAATTTATATTTTCGTGTAGGCCTTCTGCAGCCCTTCTATCTCCATTCACATTGGAACTTCATAAGTAATTTATAGCTATTAGATGAGATTCTAAACTTGTGTATATTTAATCATCAACCAGGTTATTGCTGTGAATGGGCAATTTCCAGGACCAACTCTCAATGTTACGACTAACTGGAATGTCATCGTGAATGTTAGGAATGACCTTGATGAACCACTGCTTATAACTTGGTAAATTTCAATGATTTGAGTGATGATCAAATTCGGCAATCTTGACAGTTGGCACTTGATATAAGATCTTTTAATATGCTTAGGCAAATGCAGGGCTGGTGTACAGCAGAGGAAAAATTCTTGGCAGGATGGTGTCTCAGGGACAAATTGTGCTATCCCCGCTGGCTGGAACTGGACGTATGATTTTCAAGTTAAAGATCAGATAGGGAGTTTCTTTTACTTCCCATCCCTTAACTTTCAGAGGGCTGCTGGTGGGTACGGAGGAATAACAATAAACAACAGGAAAATTATTCCGATACCTTTTGGGGCCCCTGATGGAGACATCACTCTTTTAATAAGTGATTGGTATATAAAGAGTCATAAGGTAATTGTGAGCTTCTATGCCCATTAGCTAGTGGCAGAAGCTAATTATTTATCAAATTTGGTGAATTTAAATATTTTCATTGGGATATCAGGAACTTCGGAAGGACATTGAAGAAGGACATGACCTTGGTGCTCCTGATGGTGTGCTTTTCAATGGATTTGGTCCTTTTCGCTATGATACAAATCTTGTTCCTGAAAATGTCAATTTTCTATCGGTATATGTTGACCCAGGTACAACTTTGCTATATAAATATAAGTTTAGGAAATCGCATGCCAATGTTTCAAGTTTCTGACCTGCATAGAGCTATCCCCTTCTCCTACATGTGAGATTACTTTCTTTGAGAAAATGCCCTGCTTCATCTTTTTTTTCTTTTTTTCTTTTTTTATTGAAACAGGAAAGACTTATCGTCTTAGAGTGTCAAATGTCGGTATCTCTACCAGCTTAAATTTCAGAATCCAGAATCACAATCTAATTCTTGTTGAGACTGAAGGGTCATACACAGTTCAGCAGAAATATACAGATTTGGATATTCATGTTGGTCAGTCTTACTCATTCTTAGTCACCATGGATCAAGATGCCACAAGCGATTACTACATTGTTGCCAGTCCTCGGTTTGTGAACTCTTCTTCCGGGGGCAAAGCTGCTGGTGTTGCTCTCTTGCGCTACTCCAATTCTCAGGGACCCGTTTCAGGTCCTCTTCCAGATCTTCCTAATGGTTTAGACCCATCTTACTCTATGAATCAAGCAAAATCCATAAGGTTGTTATAAAGTGCAATTCTGCTAACATTAGTATTTTTTATTTTAAAGTTGCTATCTGATTTTATGAAGTGTTGTTTGTGTGGTACAAGGAGACAATAAACCTTTTATAAATTCATAATTTTTTGATGAATATTGGATAGAAGGTCTACTCAATGGCTTGTGGTCAACTTTGCATAGTTAACAAATAATTTGAACTTGCTAAATCTGTGGTTTCCTTGTTAGTTAGATCATTCCATCTACTGTTTAGCTGAATGAATTTTCAATGTTCTTTGAATGGCAGGTGGAATCTGACTGCAAGTGCTGCCCGTCCAAATCCTCAGGGATCTTTCAGATATGGCCAAATTACTGTCACGGATGTTTACGTTCTTGTTAGCAAACCTGCAGAGCTAATTGATGGGAAGTGGCATGCAACTCTCAATGGGTTATCTTACTTTACGCCTTCAACTCCTTTAAAGCTTGCACATCTATATAATGTACCAGGAGTGTACAAGCTTGATTTCCCCATCAAACCAATGAACAGACCTTCAAGGCTTGACACTTCATTAATAAATGCAACTTACAGAGGCTTTGTGGAGATTATACTTCAAAATAGCGGTACAACTGTTCAGACTTATCATTTAGATGGATATGCCTTCTTTGTTGTTGGGTAAGCTCAGAGCGCTAAATGTAGATATTTTTTTTTTACTCTGCACCCTTTGGAAGTTAAAGACGCAGCTTATGAAGTTCTCATTTGATTTGTTAGCATGGATTATGGGACGTGGACAGAGAATAGCAGGTCAATCTACAACAAAGATGATGCAGTGGCTCGTTGCACTACTCAGGTACTCATTCTATTTGGGTTATGTCATATTATGTTTTGGACTGGTATTCTTTGTTGTGTCATGAGGTTGAGGCAAAGTCGACTAAGTCAAATGTCTTGGTTCATTGGGTTGGTTGTATAAAGGCTTAAGAATTAATATGTTGTTGCAATTTGAGTGATTGTGTCTTTGAATGGATGCTTCAGAGCTATGAAATAAAAGTACTTATTTCAAAAAAATTATAAGATTCATAACTATGTGTTAGTGCAAATCATTATAATTTGAACTAATAGCCAAAGCTATCAGAGCAACCAAGTTAGGCCAAAAAGGAAATTTATTATATGGAGTATTTATTGGACAGTTGGTCACTAGACAATGTTGCCAGCAATTATAGCAGTATTTTCAAAATATTTCATGCAGTATAAGCTACTACAAGTTTTATATCTTGTTCCTTGCTCCTTGACTTATATCCCACATTCAGGTCTACCCCGGAGCATGGACTGCCATTATGGTTTCACTTGACAACTCCGGCATTTGGAATCTTCGTGCTGAGAACTTGAACTCCTGGTATTTGGGACAGGAGGTTTATATTAATGTTGATAATTCTGAAAAGGACAGTTCAGAGGTTCCTTTGCCAGATAACACAATCTATTGTGGCTTATTATCATCCTTACAGAGGTAAGACTTATAAAATAAACTTTCCACCTCTGACCCATTCTCTCCCTTTCTCTTTTGTTGTCATTGGCCAAGTCCTTTCGAGTGTGAAATCCATTTAGAATGTTCTCTGAAGATAACATTAAACCATCACTGCCATTTGTTGATTACGAAGAATACGAACTACAGTGATTATAATTGATCTAAAAAACAATGGTTTACTGATTTTTTTTTTCTTACCACTTTCTACAAAACTGCAGGGATCAATCTCATAGGATAGACTTTTCGCGTATGCAGAAACTTGCATGTGTAAGCAGTACAACGCTGGTTGCTTTAGTTGTTTCACTTTTATGCTTCTTATTCTGATAACATGATTTTAGAAGAACATCATCATTCACATTTCACTATTAAAATGAAGACGTGCGCCAAAGGTGCCTTCTCCGAGCCCAAGTCAAGATGTTGATAGGAATCACATTGTTCTCATTATTCATTACATTAGCTCATTTTTGGAGGAAATATTATTCTTGTATAAACAGTAAGGTTACCATTTTTGCCTTTTAACCCTTAATTTAATAGACATTTTTACTTCTAACTATCTTGTTGTGTGATAGATTTAAGTAGATGGATAAATACTTGGAGAGTGAATCCGATACGCAACAGATCTTCAGCTTCCTTAAACTAAAGTGTTAACTCTGTAAATGGCAATCCTACTTCAACCTAGCATAGCAACTTATGGCACATGGTCATTCATTTATGGCAGATAAGTAGAAAATGATTGTGCATTATTAGCACTAATACCAGCCCATGATTGATTTGATAGGTAAATGTGGAGAGTGAGGGGTGATTGGCTTTTTGGGAGGTTGAAGATGAGAAATTTTTAACCTGTCCAAGAAATTTGGTTGAATTGATTTCATGTCATGGTAAAGTAATTTGAAAATTTGTGTTCTCAATATTTGGATTAATTTTCAGAAGGAATGACATCAAAAGGTACCCAATCCGTTTCTTATTGTTCTTCACACTTAGAATCGTTTTGTGAGGCAAAATTGACTAAAGTGGGAAGAACAATCTAAAACGGATGGAGTGAAGGAGTAGTAATGAAGTTGCCCTTTTCATACCAAGAAAGACTCGAAAAATCACTACTCGTATGACCGTCTCTAGGGGCTTGAGGGATATTGGTTGAAGAAGGCTAGGGTAGAATGTCTTTGCTTAGAGGTGCTTCTTCATTGGATGTAGAGATGGAACTCGGAGTATAATGTTATATTTGTTTTTCTTTAATATAATATACAATTAACATGAATACGCATGATTCTTCCTAACAACAAAGGGCATTTGGTCTAGTGGTATGATTCTCGCTTAGGGTGCGAGAGGTCCCGAGTTCAATTCTCGGAATGCCCCCATTTCTTATTTTTAAATTTGTTCTGTCAAATACAAAGTGTTTCTAAAACGTTGTTGACTGAAATGAACATGAACTGGGCATTTGGTCTAGTGGTATGATTCTCGCTTTGGGTGCGAGAGGTCCCGAGTTCGATTCTCGGAATGCCCCTTTTACCACAGCCTTTTTTTTTTCTCAAATTTTATGAATCTGAAATTTCTTCATCCTTTGAATGATCATGTGGAATCCCTTTGGTTTATGTTTACTAGTACTTTTTAGTGAGTATCACAAACCGGTTAAATCACAGAAAATACAACTCTTGGACGATGATTGATCCTAGAGAAAAGCTTCGAAATTTACTAGTATTGAGTGCGTACTTTGCAATTCTGCTAGGCCGATGATTCAGATTAACAAGGTAGGATCCATTTGTCTTGAACAATCAGCAGCTTGTATGAAATGAAATGAAGAATATTAGAGCTTGAGGTATTCAATTACTATATAGACAATTGAGTAAATCTGCTACATGGGAAAATTTCTTCATGGTGCATACCGACAGGGGAAGAAAATTAGCAGATTTACAAGGTAGGATCCATTTGTCTTGAACAATCACCAGATTTATAAGTTTAAAATGAATGTGCACAAGTATTTTGAGCACATGATGTTCCTATATATAAATAAGAGAAATAGGAACCTCAAATTAGACTATTTGAGGGAAGAATAGTTAAGAATGTAGCAGATGTAATGACGGGGGAGCTACAAGTTAAAGGCTACCTCGCTGGATCGTCTGATCTATCATGGTAACATATCTTGTTCTCCATGTTTGTTCGAGGGTAGTAAGCGAAGCAACAGTCATAACTACAAGACGGATTGTAGCTAAATGTTGGTTTCTTTCATGCAAAGACTAAGAAGTTAACACTCAAGCATCTATTTTCAGGAATAGGTGGAACACTTTGATGCTAATAGCATAATTAAAGCACATCACCAAATATCATCACTGAAAACTTGTACCAAATTGATATTTTACCCTGCTCTAAGCTGTTATAATAGCTATATAAGATTCTAAATCCCTAACAAAGAATATCATTCACAGCCACACAGGGGGGGGCAATATCTACTGGACCATGGCCGGTAGAACATTGGAGAGCCCTTGAGAACCATGGACGGCAGAACTCTATTGTACAACAGATTGGACATAGCCCCTACCCTTCAACGTTCGTGATAATTTTCAGAGGACCACATCTTAAAGGCTCATGGATTACTGGATTTGAACATTTGCATTTTCCAATTCTTGTTGTAGCAGCTCACCTTCAAGATCCAGTGATTGGATATTCATATCCTGTTACGACAGATCGCAAAAAAATAGTTAAGTATTAAGATCAAAGTGATGGTTGAAGACAAACGTAAATGTCACTCTTCTAACTCTACTAAGAATTCGGGAACATATAATTTGAAAACACTCCCATGAACAACAAAGTATTAGCAGGTGGTGGAATATAATCATAAATTATTATCCATATACTCAAAAACAAATGAAACATTCCTATGAACAAACAATTTGCGTTAAGAAATTTTAATTTTTTTTTTTTTTTTTTTTAAAAAAACAAACCAAAACCACCACCACCAGTATATTGCACTTTGCACCCAATGGACAAACACATATGGCACATCGATTAATAAGGTAATTACTAGTTTTCTACAGCAAAGAATACATTTCATAAAAAAATAAACTAAAACTCCCATGACGTTAACTGGTACCTGTTGCTGTATATTTTGCGGCTGCTGATCTTGAGATACTGCATAGGCCTGAGTTTGTATTTGTGGCTGGGACATTCTGTAATAGGGTTCCTTCAGTTCCATCTTTCCAGAAGACGTCTGAAGGATTCCTCCTTGCTCAGCGCCAACACCCCACATTTTAGCTGCATGAGAGAACAGCTCATCAACATAGTGCAACACAAAAGTAAAACATAGCTGGAATGAGGGAACAAAGCTCAACCTGACAAAGTAAGATATACAGTATAACTCTGATTATTGTGAGCAACCATGAGAAGACGGCCAGTAATTTCTTGTCCAGCTATGACATAAATAGGTTGTGCAAGAACACAACGTAACTGGTACCAGTGAGTAGTTGGTGAACCTGGTGCAGTGGTTAGCCATCTTTGGACCGTACTGCACAAAGAAAATTTGAGTAATCAGTATCCAATTATAGGTCAAACCACATGGCATGCCAATGAAGTCTCAAAAGAATGGCTCCAAAATCAGTCACCTACCTTCCATCAAACAAAACATCAAACCAACAAGCTAAACCATGCACCCTTGTGCCCACTGCAGCAGTGAATTTTAATGGAATGTCAATTTCATATAGCTGTTCCTCCTGCAAAATGGTAAAGGATGCTCGAACAGTCAATAACAAGATATGAGAAGCCATTCAAGCCAAAGATACTTGAAACTTCAAAAAACAACAAGACAAGAGAAAAGTTAAAGATAAAGATTTTTTCTAGTGGCTGCTCATTGAACCAAATTTTGGACTCATCTGACCAAACATTAGTTCACACAATGTTCTATAACATCGAGGTTACATTACAATCCCGATCAATATACAAAGTGAACAAATCATCAAAGAAAGGAAAATTTTGTACATGGGTTCACATAAGACAAGCATCTCACAGGAAAAAAGCCACATTTTATCCATAGGCTCATAAAACAAGCATCATTTGCCCTATTTTATCCATAGGCTCATAAAACAAGCATCATTTGCCGCAGCTAAATCTCCCCTATTTTATCCATAGGCTCATAAAACAAGCATCATTTGCCGCAGCAGTAGTTTAACTTCCCACATGTCTACACATTCTCGGACAGTAAACTCCTAATAATCTGGAGAGCTATATGCAATTGCTTAATCAACAGACCATTCATAACGGCTCACATCATCACCATCATCATCCTCCCGGCCTCCTCTGACAATGAGTTATACTCCACTTTGTACCAGTATTTTAAAATTGTGTTTCAAGAATCCTAAATCATAAAGAAGCGGGACATTCTGCAAATTGTTACCTCATGCCAAAAGGCAACAAGCCAATATAACATCTGGAATATGACATTTCCATATACCATAACAGGAAACCACTATTGCAGCCACGTTAAAATTTAGACATTTCATGTAAAAGTAACAACTAAAAAACATCGAGTTAAATCATGCCTTAATGCCTACAGATTAATGTATTTTTTCAAAACTTGGCACCCATCGCTTTCCGTACACTCCAGACAACTCATTCTCTATAATCAAATGACTCTTACTACACCTTAAATAGCAAAATGAATCATACAAAATCAAAAATATGAGGAGTTGATAGGCCATGAGCCCATGACCCTTCTCTAAGGGGACAAAGTCACAAATACTTGCTGTGAAACCACCACATTCTCCCGTTCTAACTTCTAAGACCTTGTACAATCATGGTCCACTTCTAAAACCTCTAAGCACGATTCCACATACTAAGATATCTGTTCAACCAACAAGCAGAAACTTGTTGTGTGAGATACCCTCAATCCTCAAGTCTGCCTCCACCTACTCATTCAATCTCACGCCAAGCTCTATCATAAATGTAAGGAAACAAACAAGAATTTCCATTCCTATCAAGGGCATGTTTCCGCAAATTGAAGTTAATACATAATACCAGTTCCCCAAGAGTAATATTAATAAGGCTAAAGAAAGTCGACATAGGAAAAACACTCTCCCGATAAATTTTCCTTTATTCACATTATGTATGGAGAAGGAAAAACGAAAACACATAATCAATGTCATATGAACAATTGGAGAAGGAATATTTCTTATCAAAAAGTGGGGGTATTTAAGACTGGTATAGCTTATCATATGGATTTTAAGACAATCACCAAAAGAGGACTTTTGTTACATTATGTTACAAATTTATAAACATATTAATCTCAACAAAGGTATAAGGGTATTAATTAAGTTTATATGGTACGTTAAGCATAGAAAAAGAGTAAAATTGTATTAAAGCCCATTAAGGAAAATGCCTAATTCTGTAAATGGAATACAAATAAAATAAAATAAGTGACGAGGGAAAGTATCCCAACTAAAGCATCACCTTAATAGTCGAGAAATCTATCACATGGTGTGTAGCTGGTGCGACAAGTAACCTTGGGTCAAAAGCATCAACCACGGGCTGCAGAAAAATAAACATAGAAATAGAGAAGGTCAAAATATAATCAGCAATAGATCATTTTCCATCAACATATGTTGAAAGAATCAAATGAAGCAAGCAGATAGTACAAGTGACATAAAGATTTATGAGAACCATGCATCGCTTTTTTATGAAACTAAAGTTGATCAGAATATTAATAAGAATTATTATTTACCTATTACAATTAAACTAACAATTTATACACAAGAAAACCTAATTTCAAAAGATTAAAATTTAAGTAGCTGGATTAATTTAATAGATCATATACCTACAGGAAATTCAAAAAATCTTCTTTGTCAGTCCCAAGTATTTTAATGACAGTCTGACATAAAGCAAAAGCCCCAGGTAAGACTGATGTTCTGACATATAGTTCAACCACAAGTATCAGAGAGAAAGAGATCTTAGTACTAAGACTCAGCGAAACATAGAGACTAAGGTCCTATGGTGTCCATTACATTATGGAATAAGCTCCTCTGTACTATATTATAGCAACGGCAAAGTAGCTTTGGAGGTTTGAAGATGAGGCAGCACCAAGGAAGAACATCCTTATGATAGGAAAAAGGTTGTCAGAGAACTTGGCTCCATACTTCCATTACTTCATGTGCACCAGTTTAGGTTCAAGAGTTGGATGAAGGGTATGGTTTTGGCGTTGTTAATAAGTTTCAAGTTTCTTACCAGATACCTGTGGTCAAAGAGTGTCAAAGATTCAAGTTTCTTCAGCTTAGCCTGTTCTCTTTGAGAAGCACCTGTTTTCTCAACTAGGGGGCAATGTTTTAGGCTCACTACAATTTTACACAATAGCCAAAAATATACCATAGATTTACATAAACCTCCAAGTCCCGACCAAAATGAGAAATTAAAGATGGATATGCAGTCATGGTGGGAATTTGGATATGCACACAAACACACATTATGTACAAAAGACATTTGCAAATTCTACTGTTGACCAATTATTTCCTAGCTGTCCGGTTGAGATTCATTTTCAGAATTGTAAACCTAAGTCAACATACATGATATACCCATGATAAATTACCTGTGAAAAGTAACCCTGGAATGCTGATCCATACAAGGCGGTCAAATCCACCCCAAAATAATTTTGCTGCTGCCAGAAGAGTGCCTGAAAAAAAGCAGTAAAGAAATCAAAATAAAGCTCAGCATACATAATAAGACGCAAGAAACCAGAAATGGACATGAACCACATGCAATGTCAACAAGGAAAAAAATCAAAGGTAGAAAATCAGATTGTTCTCCCACCATTGTGGCCTTTATGTGCATGTGGGATTGTAGATATATAAACATTTGACCTTCAACAGAAAAACCAATTCATAAATGGGAGAATTTAATTTGTAAATATGAAGGATTACTTAAAGCACAGACAAATTGGAAACATAAATCGGAAATCACATTGCTTTCATCTCTAAAAAAGCAGAATCTAAAAGATTTACAGTTACAAGAAAATATTCCAGTATGGCACAGAAGAAAAGCAAGCTAAAGCAACACCCACAGCAGTAAGAAGTTCCTTTTCCAAAAAGCAAAGGTGGCAAGATTTTTATAATGGAATAACATAGAAAGCAAAGGTTGAAAGTATAAACATTGAACATAAAAAGGAAAGACAACTCTCTACAGGATGCAGGTACGTGTCTTGTTCAACTCAGAGGAAAGCAAATAGGGGGATGAAGATGACCAGTATAAAAATCAGCAATACTCATACAGCTATCTAGAATTGATTGGATAAGAAGATATAAATATATGAAAGGCTGTCAAGAAAGTAAAATTCAGATAGAAAAGCTTGAATTAAACTATTAAAAGTAGGAACATAATTCACTCCTAAGAACTGAATCATAGTACAGGTACAAATTGACTCCTAAGAATACAACCGATTATAAAATCCATTTCTAAGTGAATTATTTTAACAATTTTATTACCAAAAATCCGAAGCTCCTTTATCTTAATAAACACAATGCAATTCTCTAATAAGTATAGTCTAGAATAGCATTAAGATCTACATATCAGGCAAACTCACCAAATAAACTTTATTGTAAGTATACCTTGTTAGCAATTTCCACAAACAGATATTCATCGCTGAATGGTGCCATATGTATTCTACATGAAGGAAAATGATTGTATTAGAAAAAATAATTAAAGATGCAAAAAAACAAAAACTCAATAACAAAATAATGAAGATGAAGCTACATGACAATTACTGTCACAATTAAGAAATAACCAGATGGGCTATAAACTGGTCAGCCTATCAATGCATGAGCCTAAATTTTCTTTCTTCACAGCAAAATACTTCCACAGTCCAATTATTTGTACATAGATTTAAGAGTTTCATAGAGATGGGGCATTGTTTACTACAAATTGATATAAAAGAAAGCAATGGATATAGTTGAAGTATTATGTATTTAGGTGAGAGTAAATATGTACATTTAGTGGACCCAACTAAACACAGAAATGGGAAGTATTAAGGTAGGCAGGGCATACAAAATTTAAATTGATGACCAGAAAGTAACACTTTGAGATTTATTCCAAAAAAAAAAAAAAAAAAAAAAAAGCAACACGGAGATTTTCTTTATCAATGAAACTAACGATGTGAAATGGTAAACCAATCACATAATGCAATCAAACAGATCGCTCCAGGACCAGTTGCATGCATGTACAAAGATGTAAAAGAGGAAAGGGAGAGACCTTACTCAATGTTCCCAAGAGACATTTATGATCAATAGCTTAGTTTGGAAGATTTGTCATTTCAATTCTCAACGACACTTGAAAATTGGTCATAATCTATATTGTAAGCAATTTTTCCTTCTTCAGAAGTTAATTAGTCCTAGAAGTACTGAAGTAGTTGAAGTTCTCCAACTATTTTTATGGATTTGGTGGACTTACAAAGCGAGGAATTGAATTGTCACTTGGACAAAGGAATCACAGTTGGGTACTTGAATAGGAGTCAAATAACCAAGTGTCAGAATATTCAGATACATTTAACACCAGAAATCCAGAATTATGAACAAATGCAAAGATGCAACATGGTTTTAGATTTCGAAAGATTTGTGTCTTTTAAACATAAAAATTACCTTATTATCCAAAATTATATCCCCTTTACCTTGTTTGACCTAAAATGCCTCATTTAAATTGGTCCACAACTCTACACAAAAATTGCCTCAAATCTGACCCAAATTTGATAAGCAAAAACCATCATGTCCATTAATAACACATCAATAAAGCAACAGAAATTTCAAGCGTAGATTAAAAGGTGATAACCAAGGACTTACCTTCCTACTCCAGGAAACATTTTTCCATTAGGTATAAGAAACCGGTCTCTTGCAATAACATAAGATTCCAGCATCCGTTCATTAACTAATAACGTACCTATATTGTAGAAAAAGTAACCATTTCAATGACTGCTCTGGAATAAAAATTTAAGTGCAAGCAAATAAGAAAATAGATTGAATAGTACATACAATACTGCACACACAAATTACAGACAATAAGTTACCCAACAACCATGCAGTACAAATTCCAGTATCAAAACTTCTATAGTGAGGGAGGTTAAGAAAATGCTAGTTTACACGATCGGGAATACATTTTACATAGAGGGATCTAATAAAAGAAAAAACATTTGAATCCATTAATTGCATGTTCCTGAAAGGGATAAATACATGGGGGTGGAAAGAAAACATGCACAAGGAAAGAAAACAGAGCACAGATAAGAGAGGCCAAACTTCAATAGCTTAGACTTTAATCAACACAAGAGATACGTAAGGTATCTGGAAATCTGCCAAATGGATCCTAGATTCCTAGAACTATACAGCTAATTATCAAAGATGATAGTTCATTATCAAAGATGATAAATTACCCATCGGCTCAGAAATCAATATATCTGCTTTCTCAGGCAGCTCCACTTCTTCAACTTTACCTTTAATGACCTGCACAAATAAACATTGTTAGTTATTTAGGGCATAATTTCACATTCAAGGGGGAAATCACATATATTTGAAAACAAAGGCCCAAAATAGACACCGTTATTCGATCAGCTAATAGGGGGTTGCCTGCGACAAGTTTACGTGCATAATCTGCCATTTCAGAAGCTTCTACAGCATAAACATGCTTTGCACCAGCCTGGGTTCAATATAATGAGGGAGTCAAAACATTTATTACATTTGTATCATTCCAAGGACATACCCATACAACTCTATTTTGTAAATAATATGCATCCAAGACTGAAATTGAAATATAAATCAGAATATAGATTCACCTGAGCAGCAAATAATGACAAAATACCACTGCCGGCACCAACATCAACCACCACCTTACCACTAAAATCCACACGGTTTTCCATGACAGCAGCATAGTAGGTCCCTACAGGACAGGAAAGATATAGTTATGTCAGTTGAGCACTCAGTCTAACCACATTGATATATTAATTTGTTTTATAGGATCATGGGCAGAAAAGTATCCACATAATTAAATGAGAGCTACAGTCACCTATACCATCTCATGAAGATTTCAGATATTATTTTTAAAAAATATAATGATCCACATTGAAGCAATGTAAAGCAACCAGATCATAGCAACATAACCTGTTCTCACATAGTCCTGCATCATATTTTGCTGATGTAATAGTTGTCCATAATAATGAAAATACATTTTGGCAGAAGATGGCTCTGTCTTGGAATCAAATTTGCTCCTACAAGCTGAAACTGCTCCATTTGATAATTGTGATTCTGAAAAGAGAGTAAAGTAGTTAGACTCTTATTGTGACCACTATTCTTATTTACAACACAATGCTTCGTCGAAAAGAGAATTTCTAGCCTAGATGATGGAAATGCTGAGAATCAAGTACAAGCTTTTATATACTCCCAGTGCTGTTATTATAATAGTCTCATTTGGAATCTTGCACAATCTCCAAGGCAATTATGTATTACACAAAAATTATACAATATTTTAAAAGCATCAGATGACACGATTGAAGCAAGATCTAATAAGACTATGTTTTGAAGCATATATTTATCCTTACAGTATTAGATTTCCTTGCATGAATCTCTCAAGGTTTCAGATAGGACAACCAAAAAGAAAACCGGAAAAGGGGGGGGGGATTGAGATCAAATGGGGGCCATTTGAATCAAATAAGAAAGATCAGTGAGGGGGATTTATTTTCAACAGATTTATTAAGTAATAAAAAGTACCCCTTTACCAAAAAAATAGTGCTAGATACAACCCAACATATCGACATACTTCCTCCGTTCTTTATTACTTGACCCGCTTTGACTTTTACACTATTCACCACCCCTTCTTTGACCGTCTTTTGTGAATAATATGTAAGGAAAAATATATTCATGTATGATCTTTTTGGATTCGTCTCAATAAGTACTATCATAGTATATAGCTTTTATAATTTTTACTTATGGAGAATTTAAGTTATTGATCGTTAAAGTTTTGCATTGGAAAGCGTGATAAAAGAAACAGGTCAAGTAAAAAAGAACAAAGGAAGTATACCCTAACTCCCTAAGCATCTAAAAGAATAAAACTAGAAAGTGCAAGTTTTACCCTAGGCAAAATGAGATACATTGTTCCCAACCATCAGTGCACAAGCAATATCTTAAGACACTTTCAGGCTTTCAGCTTCTAGAGCCTAAATTAAAGTCATTAAGTATTAAGTATATCACACTCAAGAAATCTAACCTTTGAGATTCAATTCCACATATAGTTATTCATCTTACTAGAAACAAATTCTCATGTTCCATATAAATTGGAAAAGGGCATATCATGCCTAAAAGGTAGCTTTCGTTTATTGGAATGGAAGGGAAATGTACACTTGAAAAGTAAAGATTAAAACTCTTTTGACATTGATACTTAGCAGCCTATGTACTCCAAAGATATGCTTTGAGCTATGTTGATTTAGTTGACAGCAGTCACAGCACAGTCTGCTATCTCATCAAGTTGTCTTTCAATATTTATTTCATAACAGGTTTAGAAAAATAAAATCATATATATGATAAGTGATCTAACCATGTATTGTTGAGCTAAATAGACTTCCATTCTTACAAGCCCAGTCTCAAGAGCTCACTCAATCCAAATAGAAAATTTTAGCATTATTTTTCATCAATCTTTACATCAAGCAGAGACAGCTAAGGAGTGAATAAAAACAAGAATGACAAAGCTTTCAAGACCCATTTAATTTTTATTACGACTCCAAAGATATCTCAAAAGCTCACTCTCCAAATCTAATATTGTTTCCAAAACTCGAAAGGGCTGGTAATCAATCAAGCATTTACTTATCAAAAATATAACTCTTCTCACAGTTTACAACCTCTTCGCAAGAACTTATGTCAAGTACAATGCTACAATCACTTTTGTAGCCCATCCCAAATAAAACAAAGTTGCATGAGCACATGAGACATGACTTAGCAAATTGAACTTTTACAACCCTTGTATTTCCATGGCAGCCCTTCATTTGTAATCAAAAGAGCCTTGATTATGGGGTGAGACGGGAAGATATGCTTTTATAGAAAATACTGGACAATTGATTGTTGGTGGGTAGTTTTTGAGGAGAATTTCCAAGCGTAAGTTGACAATGTTAAGATCAATGTCACATTCAAAACAGAAAAACTGAGTAATCCATTATAAATTAATAAGTAAGTAATCCCTGGATAATGTCACAGTTGACTATTATACAATAAAAACAAGGTCACTTTGGCTGATCAAAACCTTTTCCCACCAAGTAAAAAAAATAAATAAATAAATAAAATAAAAAAAAACTCACCCCTTGGAATTTCCTAATTACCTCAAGTCCTTATGATCCTCCTCATCCAAAAAGATAAAATCAAACTTTAAGACAACAAGGCTGTAAAGAGGGTCAAAGAAACTACTCAAGTCGTTGTGATTATCCTCATCGGAAAAGATATTAACAAACATTAAGACCATTACTGGCTTTGAAGAGGGTCAAAGATACTATTTATACAAGAGATCTTCAAAGTGTAAATGTTAAGTGCCCCCGTAAATCCCTTCCCTTGTTGACCTCTACATGTTCAAAGATTGCTTGAACTAAAGTAATAAAATACTCCCGTGGTAGAAATTCAGTCTAATCCCCTTCATTGTTTTCTACTTTTCACTTGCGCACTTTCCATTAAGAAAAAGGTATTTATTATAAGACAACAAATATAATTATGATAGCAAGATTAGTAAATGAGGAGATAAATAGTTGGGAAGCAAATAGTTCTCAGGAAGGAAAATTATAGATTGATCCAATTCCTTTATATCTCTCCTAAGGAATCATTTGAGAAAGGCATGCCACTTAAGTCTATAAATAAAAGATACTCGCAATCTCTTCATTTGGATCCCGACATGGTATATCCAATATATTATAAATTTTCCATAACGGTATTACCTATCCGGCTATCCCATAACGGGAACAAGAAAGCTTCAATGTAGCCTCATTAATATAAAATGAGGCAAGAGGCTTGCAACTTTGTAACAATCCACAACATCGGGAGGCAGTTCCTTCCTAGCAAGTCTAAGCGCTCTTATGTAAGGAAAACTTAGTTTTCATACTGTTAATTGCCTTCCTAAACACCAAAGCGGTCTTGAGCATATGGAATTCCACCTAGCTTTAATATCTAAGCAAGCAATACTTTTAGGTATATTCACTCCTTCAACAAGGAATGAATGAACTTTGGAAGCAATACTTTCTTATACCTATCACAGCTATCAGTGTGGCGTGACTTGTCATTAGTTCCAATTTTAGCTGAACTAGTATATTTTGTCCAAAGATCAAATTAATTTGCAAGATCTTTATTACTAGCAATCACATCAAAATGAACCCAAGCATTTCAAGTTTTTGTTCTTTTACCTTCTTCATTCACATCCTGTGGTTTCTTCCCCGCTCCTTTCTTCGTAAGTTCTGCTGGAGTCTCTTTCAATATCGGCTCAGCAGACTCCTCTCCAACACCTTTACCAGTATTCACCTCCACCAAATCATTGTATTCACCGCTATCTTTCGCACACGCTGCCATTATCTAATCAATAGACAAAGCCAGAATAACACTAATTCAAATTTAAACTTGGGAGAAAATGAACACAATTAGGCTAAAAAAAAATGCAACACATTAGCAACCAAAATTGAATCGATAATCTATTACGGCTCAAAAACTCACACAAATTCTCACTTAAGATTATCAAAGTAAATTGCACAAAATATCAAAGCAAATTGCACAAAGAAAAATTCCAGCAAGAAAATAAGCTAATCATAATCTTTCATAACTTCAGTAATAATAAAGCAATAGTTTGATAATAAACCTTAGAAAAACCCTAAATTCAATATACTGAATTACTGACAGTCAAGTTAACGATAGTGTGAAACTAAAACCCTAGATTGTGAAACTGATATTCAATGAATGAAATACAGAAGAAACTTCGTACCTCAAAAGCTGCTTCAATGGAGGACAGAAAACTCAGAAAGACGGTTTAATGGAGAACTCGGAGTATGCTTCAATGGAGAAGTGAGAATGGGAGAGGTGCGGCGTAGAAATGGAAACTCCAAAGGGAAACTAAAAATAGAAACATACCCTGGCCAAAAAAAATTAAAAAATGTGAAAAAACAAAAAGGAAACATAAGAACAATATTACGAGTAACACACGTCCGTTATATCCAAGCACGGTTAGAATTCATTTCCATTTAAATTTTCTTACAACTTCAAATAAAATTGCACTAATATTCAAATCACCTGATCTTCCCTATTAAGGATGATTTGATAAGTTTACGGTTAAACACAAGATATGCAATTTTGGGTGTAGTTGATTAGATCCTCCCAAAATGGAAACCGAAATTATTCATTTGGAATTTGGAGTTTTTGGGAAAGGAGGGGAGGATACTCAACATCTCTTCAGATTTTGTAAACTTGCAAGATATATTTGGAGGTATAGAAGTCTTTGTATCCACTTAGAATTGTACGTCTTTACGGATTGAATCATCTATTATACCCGACTTATTAAAAGGCAATACAAAGTTAATAGTCAAAGACATGCTTATTACTTCTACACATTGTGGGGACTGTGTTGACAAGGAATAATGAAAAAATTGAGTTAATAACAATGTACTTCATTCATGCTATTATTGATTTATGATGCGACATTAACTGCTAACATCGATAATTTTTAACCTATACGAATACTTCACCTATCAGAGATTAACGCTAATAAACAATCCTACTTGAAAAAAGGAATCGTGAAATAAGGCACCAAAAGAGTAGGGGTTAGATGGTGTATAGATTCCTTTTAATCAACTAATAAACTTTTATTGATTGCAGTGGACTTTAGAATTTCTGTTTTGGCGCTGCATTTTGAAGTTATGGCTTGCCTTTTAGGCCTACAATAGGCTACAACCATTTCACTATATGCTATCACAATCTTTACCGACTCACAAAATCTGGCTAAATGTTGCAATTTCATAAAGTCCAAGATATCCCTACCCCTTAAAAAGTAGGAAGTTGTCAAACATGAATGTAATAGTGATATGAGTGTATAGTCAATGAAATTTACTGTTCATAAGGTTGGCAAAAATTTAAAGAGTTTGGACTCCTTGCATTTGGGTGTAATTTCATTTCATTTGTTGAGTCACCAAATGATACTTTCTCCCTAATTTCCTCCCTTCCATTCATTTCCCCTCTTTCACTTTCATTTGAGTTTTCTGTTTTTGATAAAAAAAAAAATCTTTCGTTCTCCTCCCACTCTCTTGAAGCTATACTCTGAGCTTTCTCTATTCCATTGACGCAAATTCTGTGGTAAGATGTTTACCAAGTTGTGAAAGTATAAGTTTGAGCTATTGAAATGCATTTTATTAAGATTTCAACCCATTTTTTGGCGAAGCAATACCAGGGTTTGAAGCTTCTGCTACCTCTAATGGCGATGGAGCTCCGGCGCTGACCCCATTTTTGTTCAGGGGTTTTGCAGTTGACTCCTCACGGTCTCACCTTGCTTTCCATGTCACTGATTTTCGTTCCTACACTTGGGAGGCTCTTCGCTCTGTCCACCAACTCGATGACATGGTATAAAATTTTCTTCTTCCTTTTTTTTCAGAAAATTTAATTTGCAAAAATTTCAGCTAGGAAAAATGTGTGAAGTTTCATGATAGAAATTTCATTATGTTTGAAAATTTTGATGTAGAATTGGACGATTGAACAATTGAATGAATTAAAACTCGTTGTTGATCAAATTTAGGCCAACAAATTCATCGCAGTTCTGGTAAACATCCACTAATTTTGTTCAAATTTCTTCTATTTTACAGCTACTTTTCTGGAAATCGATCGATTTCTTCAGTTATGCGGTTGAATTCAGAGAGAAATGTGAGATAAAAGTTAATTGTGCAATGTATAAACTATATTAAGATAAGTAAAATTAAGAAAAACTAATAATAAAATAGTAAAACCTAAATAAAATGTAAAGCATATAATGCTCCTAAATTTTGTATCACTATTTATTTAGGATGAGTTTTTCCTATATAAACTGTAATTGATATCATTTTCAATATAAGATAATATAATAAAAGAAAACATATTCTTCGGTATTATTTCATTTTCAAGAATAAATATAAGTAGGTGCGGCAGCTCTACTCGTTTCTCATATAGTTTATAAATATTACTTATTAATCTGATCCAATCACCCATTATACTTCCGATGTCTCCAACAAATTCGGTATAATAATTATATCATGGCTTCCAGTACATCAACACCATTTTTCTCTTATTCCCAACCGACACTTCCTATCTTTGATGGAGAACATTATGACTATTGGAGTAGTCAAATGCAAACATTTTTTATATCCCAAGATTTATGGGAGCTCGTGGAAGGAGGCTATGAAGACCTTTCAGAAAATCCTAATGAAGCACAACAAAAACTACACAAGGAAAACAAGAAAAAAGATGCACTTGCTTTACGATATATTCATGCAGCCGTGAGTAAAACTATATTTCCCCGCTTATATGGATTGAAAAAATCCAAAGAAGCTTGGGATACATTAAAACAAGGATTTCTAGGAAATGAAAAAGTTGTTGCTGTTAGATTACAAAATCTATGGAGAGATTTTGATAACCTGAAAATGCAAAAGACAGAAAATATCCAAGTTTATTTTTCACGAGTCACGGAAATAGTTAATCAAATAAGAAGTCTCGGTGATACATTAGAAGAAAAAAGAGTTGTTCGAAAAGTATTAAGAAGTATGACAGAGAAATATAATTCTGCCACATTTATAATAGAAGAGTCTAAGGACTTGTCAACTCTCACAATGCATGAGTTGATGGGATCTTTGGAATCACATGATCAAAAATTGAAAAGAAATGCAAATACCGATCAACTTGTAGATCAAGCGTTTCAATCCCAACTTAACATATCAAACAAACAATATCAAGGAGAGTCAAAGAAAAGAGGGGGAAACCAAAGAGGACATCAATATGGTAGAGGCCGTGGTACCCAAAATTTTAGCCGTGGCCGAGGACAAAGTAGAGGAAGAGGTCGCGGACAATATCAAAATTATCAACAAAGGTCAAATAATTCTTGTCGTATTTGTGGTAAGTCTAACCATCAATCATCTGAATGTTATTTTAAATGTAAGAGATGTCGTAATTCAAATCATTCTCAAAAAGATTGTTGGCATCAAAATGGAAATAATACAAATGAAGCGAATTTCACCGCTAACGCTGAAGGTGAATAATTATTTCTTACGTGCATGGATGCACAAAATAAGTCTAGCAATTTATGGTTTCTCGATAGTGGTTGTAGCAACCACATGATAGTTAGATATGGGTGTAGCAAATCAAGTCACCTTAGGTGATGGAAAAAAGGCAAACGTCGAAGGACGAGGAGTCATTGCTGTTAATAGCAAAGCAAATAACACAAAATACATACATGATGTTCTTTATGTGCCTAATTTGACACATAATCTCCTAAGTGTTGGGCAACTTGTTCAACGAGGATATTCAGCAAATTTTGACAATGGGGAATGCATTGTTACGGACAAAAAATCTGGTACTATATTGGCGAAAGTACAAATGGCTGATAATAAAGTTTTCCCGCTTCATATGCCACAAAAGAAGCTGGCATTGCAAGCAAATGTTATGGATGAATCTTATCTATGGCACTTACGATATGGACACTTGAACCAAAAAGGATTACAATTATTGAAACAAAAAGACATGGTCGTGGGATTACCACACATTGATAGAAATATTCAAGTTTGTGAAGGATGTATATATGGAAAAATGCATCATCTTCCATTCCCAAAAACTTCATGGAGAGCTAAAGCTCCTCTTGAATTAGTACATGCAGATATATTTGGCCCCACAAGAAATCCTTCTCTACAGAATAAGAGGTATTTTCTATTATTTGTCGATGATTACACTCGTATGATGTGGATATATTTTATTGATCAAAAGTCAAATGCTTTCAATGTATTTCTCCAATTTAAAGCATTAGTTGAAAGACAAAGTGGTTATATGATAAAGACATTGAGAACTGATAGAGGGGGTGAATTTATATATAACCCTTTTATGGAGCATTGTAGAATTGAAGGAATAAAAAGACAATTGACAGTCTCACGAACACCTCAGCAAAATGGATGGTGTAGCAGAGAGAAAGAATCGCACAATTGTATAAATGGCAAGAAGCATGATGGAAGAAAAGACTCTTCCTAAAACATTATGGGCTGAAGCTGTAAATACAGCTATTTACATACTCAACCGTTCACCAACTAAAGCAGTTAGTAACAAGACTCCTTATGAAGCTTGGAATGGTAGAAAACTGGTTGTTAGTCATTTAAAAGTTTTTGGATGTATTGCATATGCCTTAAACAAAGATCAAGGTAAAGACAAGTTCGATCCCAAAGGGAGAAAGTATCTTTTTGTGGGATATAGTGATGAATCAAAAGGCTATCGTCTCTTAGACCCACAAGCTAAGAAGCTAATAGTCTCCAGAGACGTTATATTTGAAGAATCGGCAAATTGGAAATGGGATGATGAAATAGTTCATTTTCCTGTGCAAGAAGAAGCTATAAATTCTCGTAACCCAGCTCCAACAACAATAAATAATGAAGCAAACAGTCCGCATAGATCTCCTAATAATGTGTCAAATACACAAACACAAGAAACCTCATCTTCTCCACTTTTAAATCAACCAGGAAGAATTAGAAAAAGGCCTTCTTATTTGGATGATTACGAGTGCTATTTATCTAAAGCAAATGACACGGAAACATTAGCTTTATTTGCAAGTGAGCCTTCTAGCTATAAAGAAGCATCAAATGACGATGTTTGGATAAAAGCAATGGATGAAGAAATTGCTATGATTGAGAAAAACAAGACATGGGAGCTTGTTGATTACCCTGAAGGTAAAGATATTATTGGTCTAAAATGGGTTTATAAAACAAAACTAGACCAAGACGGAAATATTCAAAAACACAAAGCAAGGCTTGTTGTCAAAGGATATGCTCAAAAATCCGGAGTTGATTTCAATGAAACATTTGCTCCAGTAGCTCGTATTGAAACCATTAGGACAGTGTTAGCCATAGCTGCACAGAAAGAATTATATGTTTATCAGCTTGATGTGAAATCCGCATTTCTGAATGGTGTATTAGAAGAAGAAGTGTATGTGGAGCAACCACAAGGTTATGAAATTCAAGGGCAAGAAGATAAATTTTATCGTTTGCATAAAGCGCTCTATGGGCTTAAGCAAGCGCCAAGAGCTTGGAATAGTAGAATTGACAAATATTTTATGAATAACGGATTCAAAAAGAGTCCAAGTGAACCATCACTTTACATTAAAGAAAACAATGATGGGCATTTTCTCATTGTTTGTCTTTATGTTGATGATCTAATCTACACTGGAAATGATATGAAACTCATTAATGAGTTCAAAGAGTCTATGATGTAAGAATTTGAAATGACAGACTTAGGACTCATGAAATACTTTCTTGGAATTCAAGTTACGCAAACCAAGGGAGAAGTTTTCTTTAATCAAGAAAAATATATTGTGGATCTCCTAAAGAAATTTCATATGGAAAATTGCAAACCAGTGAATACTCCTATGGCATTGAATGAAAAATTAAGTCAAGATGATGGAGCTAGTAAGGTCGATGGTAATGTGTACAGAAGTTTGGTAGGTTCTTTACTATACTTAACTCATACAAGACCTGACATAGCTCAAGCAGTGAATATGGTATCAAGATTTATGAATAATCCTAGCAAATTACATTTTGCTGCCGCAAAAAGGATATTACGATATCTTCAAGGTACTAAGAAAGTAGGTCTAAGATACCAGAGTGAAGTTGATAAAGAATTGATTGGTTATACTGACAGTGATTGGGCTGGTTCCATTGATGATTGTAAGAGGACATCAGCCTACATTTTCTGTTTAGGCACTAAGATAATATCATGGAATTCAAAGAAACAACAAACAGTAGCACTTTCTTCTGCAGAAGCAGAATACATGTCTGCTACTGAAGCAGCATGTGAAGCAGTTTGGGTACGAAGAATTTTAAAAGACTTGGGTCTTCAGCAAGAAAGCCCCACGATGATATTTTGTGACAATATGTCTGCTATCGCTATGACAAAGAATCCAGTGTTTCATGCTAGAAGTAAACACATTGAGATTCGACATCATTTTATACGTGAATTAGTCAATGAAGAAGAAATACAGCTTGAGTTCATCAACACTAATGATCAGCCAACAGATATGCTTACCAAAGCTATAACAACAGAAAAGTTCGAGAAATTTAAAACATTATTAAACATTGCAAATTAAGAGGGGGAATTTGTGAAATAAAAGTTAATTGTGCAATGTATAAACTATATTAAGATAAGTAAAATTAAGAAAAACTAATAATAAAATAGTAAAACCTAAATAAAATGTAAAGCATATAATGCTCCTAAATTTTCTATCACTATTTATTTAGGATGAGTTTTTCCTATATAAACTGTAATTGATATCATTTTCAATATAAGAGAATATAATAAAAGAAAACATATTCTTCGGTATTATTTCATTTTCAAGAATAAATATAAGTAGGTGCGGCAGCTCTACTCGTTTCTCATATAGTTTATAAATATTACTTATTAATCTGATCCAATCACCCATTATACTTCCGCTGTCTCCAACAAGAAAAACAGGTAAATTGTTGCGAAGAGTGAGAAAAAATTGTAGAAGAACACTGATTTTTGCTCCATTTTTGTTTGATTCTTCACGAATTTTGATTATTAACCTGGTATTATGCTCAACAAATTGTTTTGCAGCGATTTGAAAGCTCAATTACGGACATGAGCCGAGGCAAAACGACAATGTTCATCTGAGATAAAGCCAACCAAGCCGAGGCTATCCGAAGGTGTTTTAGCTCAATCCGAAGGTGTTTTGGGCAACCCGAATGTGGTTCAGCCGAATCAAATTGCATCGGAGCCGAAAGTGGTTCACCTTTGCCGAGGTTCACTCTCGCCGAGAGCTCCTAGCTGAGGTTCATCTTGCTGAAGATCAGGCTCCCAGCCGAGGTTCACCTTTGCCGAGGTTTAAGCTTCCAACTGAGGTTCACTCTCGCTGAAGCTTATCTCCTATCTCCTACCCGAGGCTAGCCATAGCCGAAGCCGAGTCCGAGCCGAAGGTTCATCCGAACCGAAATTGGTTCATCTAATGTCAAATGTGGTTCAGCCGAACGAAAATTTGTTCATCTAAGCCACGCTAACCCGTGCTAAAGGTGGTTCGTCCGAGCCAAAGCTCATCCGAGCCGAAGCTCCTCTAAGCCGAAGGTTGTTCATTCGAGCCGAAGTTCGTCCAAGCCAAAGGTGGCTCATCAGAACCGAGGTTGTGTGGCAAAATATGGTCGTCATTTAGTTGTTCGCATTGATGATTTCAAAAGCCTTTGCGTACAGACATCCTCTGTAGCAACTGGAGGAAATGGCAGCAGCCTATCAGTTGGTAAAATAAAAAAAAAAACACATTTCTCTTGTTAGATGTATAATAATAATAATTTTTTAATTATTTTTTGTTTTATGTTTTTGAGATCTTAATTATTTTTCAATTTATTTTTTTAAATTTGAGTGTTTTGAGAAAAATGTGGGTTATATTATATTGATTTAAGTCTTGTGATGATGATTTCAGCAGTTTCTGGGCGTTCAATGATGAAATTTGAAAGTGGGTATTTAGTTGAGACTGTATTTGATGGAAGTAAGCTTGGAATTGAGCCTTATTCTGTTGAAGTTTTACCCACTGGAGAGCTTCTTATTGTGGATTCTGCTAGTAGCAATCTTTACAGGATCTCTTCTGCACTTTCTCTTTGTAAGTGTGCTTATTTAGGAGTATTAGATTCATGGTATTAGTGTTTTTGCTAGCCAAGGGCTCGTTTGGTATCACTGTCAGTTTTCGGGATCGAATTTAATTGCAATTGTATTATAAACCTTCTTTGGATGCTAATTTTGATTCTGATTTATGTGATGCTTAAATTCGTCTATCCTTATGTAGTAAATGGTATATTTGTGTGCACATGTGCATGTGCATTGTTTATTTGGGTGGATCCTGAGTGTGATTTATGGTGATTATGCAATAATGCAGACAGTAGACCTAAGCTGGTTGCTGGATCACCTGAAGGATACTCTGGACACGTTGATGGGAAGTACAGGGAAGCGAGGTTGAATCATCCGAAAGGTGTTGCTGTTGATGACAGGGGGAATATTTATGTCGCGGATACTATGGATATGGCAATCAGGAAGATCTGTGATACAGGTATTTTGGAGACTCGTGTATGCTACATTGAGTAGATAATTGCCAAATTGTTGATTGAGGATATGAAAGAGTGAAAGACACATTGGAGTTAGAATGGAACGATAATTTGTGTGATTGAACTCCTTTCCATTCGGATATAGTCTTGTATGAAGCTGATAATATGATGGTAGATTGAAGAAGTGATAATAGTAAAATGTCCTGATTTATTAGTAGAATGTGATATTTTTCAATCCTGTTTCTACTGAATGATTATGGGGTGAACTCAAAGCTGACTTGTTAAGTGCATAGTATCTAGAGACTAATCGTGCTATTTGTTTCAGGAGTCACAACAATTGCTGGTGGGAAATGGAGTAACAGAGGTGGTCATGTTGATGGACCGAGTGATGAAGCAAAGTTCTCCAATGACTTTGATGTTGTCTATGTTGGAAGCAGCTGTTCCTTGCTGGTCATTGATAGGGGAAATCGGGCGATCAGGGAAATTCATCTCCATTTTGATGACTGTGCTTATCAATATGAAAGCAGCTTCCCTCTTGGTAAGCTAAAGAAGATTTTATAATCTACTTAATCTGTCTGGTGACATTGCTTTGGCTTATTCTTTCCTGTCATAATTACAAGAATTGCTGTACTTCTTGCTGCTGGATTTTTCGGCTACATGCTGGCCCTATTGCAGCGGCGAGTTGGTTCTATTGTGTCTTCTCAGAATGTAAGAATTGCCTTCTCCTCCGAAATTGCCATTTTGGGTGTTAAAATGCTATGCAGTATATGACTTGTTAACTTTATCACAGGATGCCAAAATAATATTTGGCTTTTCTTATGATAATTCTTCTCATTTTCCTGGTTTTCATGGCTCTTTGATGGAATTCCTTGTTAAGGGTACTGAATATGTTCAAGCCCAGGTCAGTTTTCTCTCTTTATTTTTGGGTTATTGCATGTCACCATCTATGTTATGTTGTTATTTTTTTCCGTCTCAAATTAATAGTCACGTTGATAGTGTAATTTGAACGACTTATATAATACGAAAACTAATCCTGAACAAGGTAGAAGCTGTACAGGGTAGGATTGATGGATTTTGTTGGAAAGTACTTATTTATTTATTTATTTATGTTTTTTGTCTAAGAAGGTTGGAATTTTTCTTGGGTTTTGCTTAATTTAGGGAGAGGAAAGTGATTTTGGTGGGTCATACTTGTTTGAAGATTGCTCGATTCTTCCTATAACTTGTCCACAAGCAACGGTCTAATACCTGTACATTATTTTCTTAAGTGGCTTATTAAGTTATAAGCTTTAGAAAATGTATCAAATAATTCTGTTTCTTTGTTAATGGGTTATGAACATCATGAAAAGTAGTGGACGTCACATTGTTTGTTATGGTGTAGCATTTTTCATTATATAAGAAATTAAGATTGGAAATTGACAAATGGTAATTGTTTTGTTAGACCCGTGGTTGAAACATGTTTGTAACATTATATAATCGCGGCAAAACTAACACTATTAACTTTAGACGGTTTTGAGACAATACTCAAAAGTTGAGATCATTTTGAGATAACACAAGTTATGATTATAAGATTGTTTTTAGAAGATTGGACAAAGTTCGAATTGTTTGTATTTTAGTTTTTGTTGAGTATTTTACGTTTGAAGACATTTCTTGAAATCGATTGGACACATACATTGACTCATAATGTCACAATTTAGCATAGACAATGACCACAATTAAAAATATAGACTTGATAGTTTGACCAGGTTTCACAATAGATTCTAGATTAGTTGCTGGGTGGTGGTAGTTGGAAAAACAAGCAACTTCCAACAAACAATAAGGAAAATAATTGATAGTTCACATTTTTCTTGTTGATGTGCCGGAAAAGTAGTCGCATGCACATACAAGGATTGTCAAAGAGTAATTTTCTAACATCGATCAACTACTCAATTTTGCCTAGAGCTGAAAGAATGTGGCCTTTCGACGAAATATTTTGCTTCCTGTCCTGTGATATTCAACCATTTCTTTCTGTCATCTTAAGGTGATACCTTGTTATGTATTTCAGGGTGGCAGATACCGAAGTCCGGAAGAAGTTCCATTCTTTCCTGATCACTTACCACCTCCATTAGTACACCGCCCTTTAAATTGTTCGCAGGTAATTTGCCTTTTGTCTTGGATACTTCCATTTCTGTCCTATTCATGGTCTAAAGTTTTGAGGACTCATCGTTTTATGATTTGCTGTATTGTTTCAATCGTAGGATTTGCCTCCTGCTGCAGCATCTGTCAATGTAAGCTAGAAAATATGGGACTTTTATGTTAACCAATTTCTACCTCTACTGGCTGCTAAGGGTGATGATGGAAATTATGCTTTAGGTGTGGCTTCTGATCTAGCGTGTTTGCAGGTTAGTAATTTAAGTCTTTTCACCTGAAAACGCGTATCTGAACTTAACTTATTTTTGCTGTCTATTGAACATGAGTAACCTGTAGCCCTCAGTCCCTTACCGAAATTTGATACATTCTTCCTTTTCTGAACCTATTGGCTTATAATTTCTGAAACTCGTTTCAACGTGAAGAGAACATATTAATCACAATAATCTTACCAAAATCTTGAATTAGAATGTATTTTAGTATGTTGACATGCCATTGATTGAATACTGTATATCTTTCAGGTGTTATCAAGGAGAATACATTTTGGAAAATATGTAGCTGAAGTAAAGTTCAGAAGCGAGACTGAAGCATACAGTGCTGCCATTCGCGCAAAAGTCAGTAGTTTCACTTTGCTGAATCATAGATAAACAACTCTCTCCTATACTAAGTAGCTGAATCAAATCTTATTCTCTAACCTGTACTTTTAACTTCTTAATTCAGGACAAAGATATCTTATGAACCTATTGACAGATAGTAAAGTGGAAGCGATGGTGAAGCAAAGAACTGAGAAGAAAGCCAAGGTTTTTGGGCACGAAGTAACCCTCAATGACACAAGTAATTCCAATGACTACAAGGTTGATCCTTCATTGGTCTCTCGTCTTTATGATGAATGGGTGATTCCTCTGACTAAAGATGTTGAAGTTGAATACCTTCTCCGGCGTCTAGATTGACATTTGAATTTGTATTTAGCATTGTTCAATTGATAATGGTGAGATTGATAACTTGGACTAATGAAGTTAACATTCTCAAAATCAATCTTTCATTTGGCAAATTACTAAATTCATTATTAATGTACTCCATTGAATTACTAATATATATAAGTACTCGTAATATTATTATTGTGTCTTTGAAGAAGAATAATGCTAGATATGCTCCTCTTGTTGTTTCAAATCTTACCTCCTTTTGTCAATTTAGCCTTATTATTATCGGTTCAGTAAAAATAACTTCAGTTTAATAAAATTAATTTCAATTTAGTAAAAATAATTTAATTTTAGCAAAAATGAGGTAGAGTGAACAAGGCCTCATAGGCGTCATAGCTACACCCTACCGATCCGAAAAAAATCCAATTCAGATTTCAACTTTTGTTGGAGTGAGCATATCAGAGCAGATGCTTTGGGTCAAGAGTTGTCATTTATGCGCACTATAATATATATGTTGTTCTTATTTTCTGGGTACAGAATGTGAGGGAATTGAAGCGGGAGAGGAGAAAACAATCCAATCGAGAATCTGCAAGAAGATCAAGGTTGAGGAAACAATCCAATCGAGAATCTGCAAGAAGATCAAGAGTTTGAGAGAAATCTGCGGAGACAAGTAGACAACAATGAGTTTTAGGGAAGAGGGGAAGAAGAGTGGTACAATGAAGGAGGGACCAACTACGAAGGGATTACTAAAAATTACAAAAATCGAAGAATATGAGTGGGGAGAGAAATGGAGTGAGAAAACAAGGACTGGAAATATACATAGATTGATGGATATCAAGTAGGAAGAGGCCTTCTAAAATTCACATCCATATAAAAACGAGTTACACAAGGAGATATAGCCTCTAGGGGGAAATGGAAATGAGAAGGGATGAGGAGAGGGGAGAAGGAGGGAGCGAGTAAGAAGGGTAGAAATTATAAAAACCAAAAAAATGAGTCGGGAAAGAGAAAGGAAATGAGAAAACGAGGCTTGAAAAGATAAATAAAAAGATTGATAGATTTCAAGTAGAAAAGGCCTTCTAAAATTCACGATCCATAAAAAAAACCAGTAACACAAGGAGATAGAGCCTATAGAGGAAAAGAAAATGAGAAGGGGAGAGAAAAGGGGGGGTGTAGCAAGTAATACAATAATTTCTAAAATTTCCAAAATCGTAAAAGTCAAAAGAGAGACTCTGTGGATGATTTTCTTTGTTGAAATATACCTTTAGTATAAGACATAAAATTTATAATAGAAAATCATAAATGGCAACTGGAATGAAAAGAAGAGTTTAAAAGAGTTATACGTTGAGATAGTAGTAAGTTTAAGTGAAGGAGGGAGGAAAGAAAGTGGTACATACACTAAAGGAGGGAGCAAGTAGGTTGAAACTTACTCAATTTTTTTTTTTTTTAAAAAAAAAGAAACATAAAATATGACTGAGGTAACATAGAAAGGGAGTGAAAAAATAAGGGCTTTGGAAAGATTAATAAATATTTTGATGGTTAGCAAAGTAGGAAGAGGCCTTCTAAATTTCTCAATTCGTAAAATGAGTAATAGAAGGAAATAGAGCCCATATAGGAAAAGGAAGTGAGAAGGGGAAAAGGGGGAAAAAGGAAAAGAAAAGTGGTACAATGAGGGAGAGAGCAAGTAGGTATATATAGACTTACTAAAAATTCCAAAAATCATAAAATATGAGTAAGGTCAAATCGAAAGGCGGTGAAAGAATGAGGGTTTGGACAGTTTAATGGATAAATTGATGGCTAGCAAGTAAGAACTGTCCTAAAGTTCACAATACGTAAGAATGAGTAACAAAAGCAGATAGAGCCCATAAAGAAAAGGAAGTGAGAAAACAAGGGCCTAGAAAGATAAATAGATAGATTGATGGATATCAAAGTAGAAATAGGTTTTCTAAAATTCACGATTAAAAAAAAAGGAGTAACACAAAGTGATAGAACCGTAAAGGAAAAGAAAATAAGAAGGGTGGAGTAGCAAGTAATATAATACTTTCTCAAATTTGTAAAATCATAAACGTCAATTGAGAACTGTATGCATGAGTTTTTTTGTTGAAACATACCTTTATTAAGACATAAAAGTTGTGTTAAAAACTTATAAAAGACAGGTCAAGTGAAAAGAAGAGAAACAAAAAAAGAGATATCTAGGGAGATATAAGTGAGTTTTAGTGAAAAGGGGAGGAAAGTGATACATCGAGAGAAGGAGCAAGTAGGTAGAGACTTACTAAAAATTACAAAGCCATAAAATATATGAGTGAGGCAAAATAGATAGAGAGTGAAAAAATAAGGGCTTGAAAGATTAATAGATAAATTGATGGATAGAAAGTAGGAAGAGACCTTTTAAAATTCACAATTCGTACAAATGAGTAACAGGAGGAGATAGAGCACATATAGAAAAAGGAATTAAGGAGGTAGGAGGGAGGAGAGAAAAAGGACACTAAGGGAAGAAAAAATTCTAAAAACCGTAAAGTATGAGTGAAGTAAAATAGAAAGAAAGTGTGAAAATGAGAGCTTGGAATGATTAATTGATAAATTAATGTATGGCAAGTAGAAAGAGGCCCTCTAAAATTCACAATGCATAAAAGTGAGTAACACAAGATGATATATCCTCCATAGAGGAAAAAGAAGTGAGAAAACAAGGGCTTGAAAATATATATTGATAGATTGATGGACATCAAGTAGAAAGAGGTCTTCTAAAATTCAAGATCCATATAAAAAACGAGTAATGCATGTAGATAGAGCCTATAAAATAAGAGGAAAAAGAATTATAAATCTTACAAATTAATGCAACAAAATAGTTAGCGCTACAGCACATCAAATCACCCAAATCATACCGCCAAGCAAAATAACGTTGGCCATTGAATGCAAGGTTTTTATATGCGTTTAGTGAGTGTGTTACTCATAAGACAAAATTTATGATTAAAAATCAGTTTTACTAATATACAAGTAGGTTAGAGAAATATATATTTATTAATCTAGGTATAACAGAATTATATAGTTTGCTATGTTATTCAAAAAAGAAAGAAAACAAGGTCAGTAGGTGTTGAGATATTTATGATTTTGTATTATTAGTGTGCTGACTAGGACAAGTTAGTTACACTTTTCCAGCTGTATTTCTTATATATATTGCTCCTCACAATTAATGAATAATTAACTTTATCTTCCACAATTATTTCTACTTCTCTCTCTACATTTCTGATTTCTTCTCTTTCTCTCTCTACAATCTGGGTTTCTTCAGTAGGTCACTAATTTGAGTAAAGATTGATTTACTTATTAGAAACAAGATTTTAATAATAAGTGAACAATAAATACGATTTATTTCCTTTCCAACACTAATCAACGAAACACACAACCCATGATGCCAAACAATATACACGCTGGACTATCGCGCGCATATTTATCTTTTTGTGGGTAAGGGGTATATTTATCTATAAAATAAATTAATAAAATAATTACATCTTATTATGTTTATTAATAATTTATTATATTATAGAGAATATATTAATAATTAATAAATTATCATGTAATTATTTTGTATATATTATGTAAATTATATTAATATATATAATATATATTAATAATTACATAAATTAATAAATTATTAATAATATATCAACCTCTAGAGAATAATAAACATAAAAAATCAAGTGCATGTATGTTTATCAACCTCTAGAGAATATATATTAATCTTAGGATGATGTACCTTTTTCTGGCTTGTATAGTATATCGGGGCAATTATTATGTAATTATATCGGGGCAATTATATTATATCGGGAAAATGGTGGTTAGCCTCAAATTAAAATCTCTAACACCAAATTCAGCAGCTTCAGATGATGGAAAATGGTGGTTAGCCTCAAATGGTGGTTAGCCTCAAATTAAAATACTATAAACATTTATATATAGTCCAAAATAAAATTAACAATTTAGCAAATCAAATACTGCATTAATATTTCCAAAAGAAAAACATTTTAATTAACTACCCATCATTCATTAGGCACTTATCTCTAGGGTATCTATCCCTCATTACCTACATAATTTTTTAAAACAATTCTTAACATAATAGCTAATTCTTTGTCCAAAACAAAAGTCAATACCTAAATCCAAGGCATTTACATATAGCTAAAATCATACACTATTAGATAATGAGGAATTAACATATTAAAAAAATTCGAAACAAGTCACATAACTAATATAACGACACCAAAAACACGCTGGACTATCGCGCGCATCGCGCGCGAGAGGACGACTAGTTCACATAAAAGTCCAAGATATTCACATAATTTAGACTTTCCAACAAATCACCCGAGGTGGATCAAATAGAATCCTCAAGGCTCATCATATAGCAACTACAACAACTTATAGTCTTGGTTAGTTTTTTGTTTATTTTGTACTAGTTCTAATTGTATTAAGCATGTGTATTTTATTTTATTATTATTTATTTTTCTTACAAACTTTCTCTAGATGTGTTTGGTTCATTGAATATGAATGAATTGGTATAAAATTTAATGTTAAGGAAGTATATATGAATTCCAAATCATATACTGGTCTAAAGTTACTTGGTTTTATATTATAATGGATTCTATATTTATTGATGGAATGCAATGAATTGGGAATCATATGGATAGGGTGGATATGGGCTAATATGGCATCTAGGGTACAGGGTAGAGTTTGAACCCATTTGGTAATAGTTAACAACCTAAAAAAAATGATGAAATGGACTGATTGGAGCTGAACTGAACTGAATTGAACTAAGCTGAAATGAATATTTTATGAGAGAGGGAAATTAAGAGCTGAACTGAACTAAACTGAACTGAACTGATTGGAGCTGAACTGAACTGAACTGAAAATAAGTAAATATGAACAGGCCCTAACTTTAACATGAACTTATTAATTAAGGTCCTTAAATAATGTGAGCTAAACATAGCCTAATACTCAATATTTATCAAACATCATTGTTTATCATCGTGACCTTCCCAGATGATATATAAAATATAGTAATTTCTTATGTTCCATATTACTTCATCATTTTTCTCTCTAAAAAAATAAAATAAAAATCACTTCACCATTTTTCATAATATTTGAAAATATTATACATAGCCCTTAGGGCTACATATAAGCATTAAATTTACACTTGAAAATCGTAAAAAGTTAAGAAATC